GGGAAGATCGTGGTGACGCCTGCCCGTTGGAGCTCGTGTTGGGCCACGAGATTGTGGCGTAGTGTGGGAACACACATGCTTGTGATACTGCCCGAAGGAAAAGCTGGGCACGGAACTGTAGAGGAGCCCTTGGCGTGTGTTGTGAAACTGGAGTCTGCTCCAAGTAGACGGATTGGTGTCTCGTATGGCTTGAAGGAGTGTTCTTCCTTGAGAACCGTGTGAGTGGCCCCACTGTCGAGGGTGAACTCTATTGTAGCTGAGGTGCTTTGTGAGCCGAGACACTGCAAAATTGTCTCATTAATCATGGCAGTGCCAGGGAACAACATGTTGAGGCGCTCATCAGCAGGTGCAGCCACAGCAGCCTGCACGGATTCCTGCGCTTCGACTTGATTGACCTTGCGAGGAGCACGATTGACCATCCAGCTTGGCGGCTTCGAGGCGGTCCCATTGACGGCATACCAATCGTTATCCTTTTTCTTGAAGCAGGAGGCAAGGCCGTGGTTGGTGCCGCCACACACCTGGCCGGCACGAGGGCCGCGCTTGATGACATAGGGACACGGGGGGAAGCGGTTGCGCTGGAATGGCGCCGAAGCGGCATAGGCTTGAGGCACGGGAGCGCGGATTGCATTGGCCTTGGCTTGAGCACTGTTGTCCTTTTCGGCAGAAAGGAGCGCGGATGAGACCTTGGCAAATGTGAGGTCTGCAGGAGCAAGGCCCAAGAGCATCTTGCGTGTGACTTCGTATGCCGGAGTGAGGCCGACTAGGAGAGCGGCTGCAGGGGCTTGCTCGGGGAAGACTATCCCCAACTGTTTGAGTTCACCATGAATGGACTGCACCTTGGTGACATAGTCCGCCATGTCTGGTGAGTCCTCGAGCCGCACTTGGAACATGCTGGGGATGAGTATAGCAACTCCCACTGCAGTCTTGTTCAGGAAGCGATCCTCAAGGTAGAGCCAAATGGCGTTGGCAGACAGGTAGTTGTGGTAGGTTTCGACGAGTTCGGGAGGAGTGGTGCCCATGAAGACACTAATGACCGCACCATCGGCCTTCTCCCAATTCTTGTACTTGAGCAGTGCAGCAGCATAAACTGCTTCGGCGGCGGCATTAGCTGGATCGACGGACCTCTCGGGTTTAGGAGGCTCTTTGCCGTCACCGATGTTGAGAAGGACGTCGGTGAGCTCGAGCCCCTTCACCTCGCGACTGAGGAGGTGCTTGTCGACACCATAGCGCCAAGCCTTGTAGTTGGAGCATGTGCCGTCCGGCTCGAGACGAAGGAGCGGGATCGGGTTGGCGAGTGAAGTGGTTGAGTAAGCCATTGTTGGTGTGCAGCGCGGCAATTCTGGAAATTGGTCGACGAGAATTGCTGAAATTCACTCTGACGGTTGTAGGAAATGGCGTCGGCGAAAATTTGTTAAAACGCCGACTTGAAACTGAATCTGAGCCTATGTCTAACCCCGGACCCACACACCCCCCCACACACCCCCAGGCCCTGTCCCGCAGCTACACAGCTCCGCAACAAGCTCCGCAACCAGCTCCGCTGCGTTCACGTGCACCTCTTGCCGCCCTCTCCCAAGCGCAAGCTGCCAGCACCACTCCGTGTTCGTGTCGCAGCTTCGCCAACCCAACCATCCTCTACCACCATCGCTTGGGTCACCCCATCTTCCGTCGCAGCTGCTCCGCTGGACCTAGTGCACATGGATGTCTGGGCCCCAGCTCCAGTCGCATCCCGAGGCGGTCATCGGTACTTTCTTACACTAGTCGATGACCACTCGCGGTATGTTACTGTGCACCTCCTGCATACCAAGGCGGAGGCACCTAATGTCATCATGGCGTGGGTGCACCAGGCTCAAGTCACGTTCGGCACTCCTCTGAAGTGCCTCCATTCTGATGGCGAGGGAGAATTTCGCAATGGCAAACTCGATAACTTCTGTGCGGCCCAAGGGATTCGGCAAACCTTCACGCTCCCCGAAAGCCCACAGCAGAACGGCATTGCAGAGTGCCGCAACCACACCTTGGTTCAGATCGCTCACTGCCTCCTCAGTCACGCCATTGCACCACGGTCACTCTGGGGATATGCCCTCTTCCATGCGGCACTCCTCTACAATCTTTATCCGCATCCCCACCGGCCCGACACCACACCTACCGCTCTCTGGCTTGGAGTCACGCCTTTCGCCCACTCTCTACGCGTCTGGAGTCATCAGCTGGCGCTCCACTCGGTCCTCTGCAGTCTCCTTGTCGTCCTGCGATGCCGAGTTCTACGTAGGCACAATGGCTGCTCAAGAGGCACGCTGGCTCTCCTTTCTCCTCGCTGAGTTAGGCTACCCCCAGCAGTTGCCCACCCTGTGGTGTGACAACCAGAGTGCCATTCACCTCACCAAGGATCCTGTGTTCCACTCTCGCACCAAGAACATCGAACTTCGTCATTTCTTCATCCGAGATCTTGTTCAGAGTGACCAGCTGACGGTACGGTACATCGCCTCAGATGGCAACCTCGCCGCCCTCTTCACCAAGGCTCTCGGCAAGGCTGACCACCATCGCCTTCTCCGTTCCATGGGGCTAAACGCTCGTTGACCAGGTTTGCAGTCTATGGGGGTGTGTTAGAAATAGACTGCAAATACCACTTTTGTATTTGTACTTTTATATCCTAGTTTAGGTTATGAATGTTCTAGTGGGTTGGGGTGTACTCACACATCCCAACCTCACCCAATTGTGATCCCCCCAATCTCCAATTACCCAATTGGAGATTCAGGAGATCCCAATGGGGATTCCCTCCAATTCCCCCTTCATCCATTCTCTCTCACCTTGCCATGTACTTATAGAGCCTTGGGCTCCTTACCTAAGCAATCATTTCAACTCTATTTCTTACAATAGTGACCTTAAAAAGAAGACCAAGCTACTGGCCTTACTTCCGGACTCATGGTCCTCGCTCATCATCAACCTAAATCGAGATCTACCCTGCCTCTCGCTCGAAGATGTGAAGCGGGAAATCAGAGTGCGAGGAGGAAGATTTGGCAGCAGTAATTTCAATGGAGGCCGTGGTAATGTAGGATATGGCAACAACAACAACAACAACAATGGCTACAAGCGTGGGCGCTGTCGATTTGATGGCGAATGCCACTTTTGCCACAACACAGGCCACATGTGGAGAGATAGTTTCAGATTGCCTGATGGATGGACCACTTCTCAAGGCCAAGATGGCAGAGGAGCAAGGGGAGGAAGAGGCAGAGGTCGTGGAGGCCGTGGTGGTCGTGGAAGCGAAGCAGCAAGCATGAAAGGTGGAGACTACGAGACGAGCCTGAGTGAAGATCGATATGCGGGCCAATTCTTCTTTGTCTCCATGCAATCGGCAGCTGCAGCAGGAGGTGTGGAAGGCTTTGAGGAGCCAGCTACTGTGGGAAAGGTCACCGTTCACTTTTTGGACTTTTGGGTGATCGATAGCGGCGCCACCTATAGCATGACACCTCGTGCGGACTTGCTCACTGAACTCGAACCGTCGCCGGTCAAGCATGTTACATCGGCTTTGGGGCAGCGAGCAGAGGTGAAAGGCATGGGAAAGTCCATGTTCAAGGGTGCTGATGGGAAGATGGTGGGCCTCAAGAACGTGCTTTGGGTGCCCAGCCTAGCAGCCAACCTGATTTCCGTGCGGCGTTTGCAAAAGGCCGGCATGGACACATCTTCCAAGGGATCCAAAACATATACCGCGAGGCTTGGTGAGCGGAAGCTTTGTGACCTTCATGAGGACAGGGACATATACAATGAGATGTGGCAAATCCCATTGGTCCCCATGCCTAAGGAGAGGCAAGTGGCAGCAAGCGTCAGCACCAAGAGTGAAGCGGTTGGTGGCGGTGATCACGGAAAACAAAGTGACACCAAGAGTGACTCGAAGGAGTGCAATCTTGGAGGGACCAGCAAGGCGTGTGAACCCAAGGAGGGTGGTGCAGCAGTCAAGGGTGGTGAAAATGAGGAGGAGAAGCCTAAGATCAGCAAAGCAGCAGCGGCGAAGGAGAAAGGAGAGAGCTTGTGGGCCACAATTGCGAGTGCCGCTTTCTCCAACCCGACTTCCGCTACGGGAGAGTGTGATTGGCTGACCTTGCATCGGCGAATGGGGCATGTGGCATTGCCCATTTTGCACCAGATAGTTAAGCAAGAGATGGACAATGGGATACATGTCAAGGGAGAGCCCAATGAAGTGCTTGGCTGTCCAACATGCATGCAAGCCAAGTTCACCCGCTACCCGTTCCATAGCTCGGAGACAACGGCGAAGGCACCACTTGATGAGGTGGTGATGGATGTGGTGGGCCCCTTGAAGCTTGGAGCTGCTGGAGCAGAGTACTCCCTCACCATTGTGGATGTCTACACTCACATGACTTGGGTGTATGTGTTGCCCAAGAAGAGTGACATAGCTGAAACGGTGAAGACCGATTGGTTTCCGGTGGTGGAGCGGCAACAAGACCACCGTTTACACTCCTTGGTGGGCAGCCTCATGTATGCGGCCGTTCACACAAAGCCAGATGCAGCCTTTGCTACCGGGCAGCTGGCTAGGGTTGTCCAATGCCCTAATGAAGAGCAGCTAGCAGCTGGAGAGAGAGTGGCCAAGTATCTTGGCCAAACAGCAATTGTTGGACTGCTTTCTCTGATGCATCTTGGGCATCAGAACCAGAGGATATGACAAGTGTGGGAGGCTTCATCTGCTGTGTTGGTGGAGGCCCAACAGCTTGGAAGAGCAAGAAGCAAGTGGACCAAGCATTGAGCTCAGTGGAGTCCGAGTACATGGCACTCTTCCGTGCCATAAGAGTGGTTGTGTGGCAGCGGCGTTTGCTAGCTGAATTGGGGGAGGAGCAGCAAGGACCTACCCCACTCTACTGTGATAGCCAAGGTGCTATTGCATTGGCAAAAAACCCCGTTCTTCATGGCCTCACCAAGCACATGAAAGTGAAGTGGCATTGGGTGAGGAGCATGGTAACCGCGGGTGAAGTGGAGTTGCACTACGTGATGACGACGGCGCAGCCTGCTGATATGATGACCAAGAGGCTGGTTGAGCAGCAGCATTGGAAGTGTTGCAAGCTTGCTGGGATGGCTCTGAACTAAGGGGAGCAGATTCTAAGGCCAACAATCCGAGGGGGGGTTTGTTGGTGCAACCCTACAGCTTGCACTCGGCTTGTCGTCCTTGTTTGTGTGTGTGCATGCATGGCATGGAATGACTTGTGAGACTATGTCATTGCTATCTAGGGCGTGGTTGTGTGCTTGAATGGTATCTCACAATGTGGTGTGTGTTGGTCAAGACATTAGCGAGTCTTCACTACTCGCATGTCAAGTCGTCGTTTGCGCGTCGCATGTGTTTTTCTATTTTGTCGTGTGTGAAGTGTCCATCGCGTCGCAGGTGTGTGCAGCCAGCCCTCATCAAATCAAGAAGAATTTATCTTGCAGAACCAAGACCAAGAGCTGAAGATTTCAAGCCCAAGGGACATGGATAAGTATTAAAATAGTGAAAATAGTAATGCTACTTCGTGCAGTGTTACATTTCACTTGGTGTAGCCCCTTGCTGGGTTTTTTTTTAGTCTCCTCGTGGTTGGGGACTCTCTTTTGGTGTGCCACCAACCTGGACCTCGGCTCTTGGGGTATGTAGAGGCTGGGAACGATCTCCAACTCGATACTTCTTGCTAAGTTTGTACTTCTAAGACAATAGTGGCTGCTATACCTCCTGCTTGTCAAACCACCATAGTGTTCTCAAATCTTCATGGACATTCTTGATTCAACTTGCTTTGATAGGGGACAGCAAAGCGCTCCAGATCCAACTTACAGATCACCATTTGAGTCACCGAGCAGAACGGTATCAATGTTTGAAGCCGTCTGACGGAAATCCAACTGTGCTCTCTATCTCTCATTGTAGGCACATCTGAGCCTATTAATATTTATAACAACAGCTGGGCTCACAGCTGGTCTCACAGCTGGTCTAACAGCTGGTCTCAAAGCTGGTCTCACTGGTGCTCTCACAGTTGGTCTCACGGCTGGTCTCACACCTGGTCTCACTGGTGGTATCACTACTGGTCTCTCTGTTGGTATCACTGCTCGTGCTGGTCTTACTGCTGGTCTCACAACTGGTCTCACAGCTAGACTCACAGCTGGTCTTAATGCTGGTGTTACAGCTGGTCTCACAGGTCGGCCCGAAGCTGGTATCACAGCTGGTATCACATATGGTTTCACAGCTGGTCTCAAAGCTGGTCTCACTGGTGGTTTCACAGTTGTTCTCACAGCTGGACTCACAGCTGGGCTCACAGCTGGTCTCACTGCTGGTGCTGGTCTCACTGCTGGTCTAAATGCTGGTGCTGGTCTCACAGCTGGACATACAGCTGGTTTCACAGCTGGTCTCACAGCTGGTTTAACCGCTGGTCTCACCGCTGGTCCGCCGCTGTCACTGCTGATCTCATTGCTGGTCTGACAGCTGGTCTGACAGCTGGTATGATAGCTGGTCTCACACCTGGTACAGCTGGTGTCACAGCTGGTGTCACAGCTGTTCTCATGGCTGGTTTCACAGCTGGTCTCACAGCTGCTCTCACAGCTGGTCTCACTTCTGTTCTCACTGCTGTTCTCACTGCAGGTCTCACAACCAGTGTCACTGCTGGTCACACCGCTGGTGCTTGTCTCACTGCTGGTCTCACTGCTGGTGCTGGTCTCACAGCTGGTCTCACAGCTGGTCTCACAGCTGGTCTCACAGCTGGTCTCGCAGCTGGTCTCACCGCTGGTCCCACTGCTGGTCTCACTGCTGGTCTGACAGCTGGTTTCACAGCTGGTTTCACAGCTGGTCTGACAACTGGTCTCACAGCTTGTCTCACAGCTGGTGTCACAGCGGGTGTCACAGCTGGTCTCACGGCTGGTCTTCAGCTGGTCTCACAGCTGGCCTCACAGCTGGTCTCCCTACTGTTCTCACTGCTGTTTTTACTGCTGGTCTCCCTGCTGTTGCTGGTCTTACTGCTGGTGCTGGTCTCACTGCGTGTCTCACTGGTGGTGCTGGTCTTACAGCTGGTGTCACAACTTGTCTCACGGCTGGTCTCACATTCGGTCTCACAGCTGGTGTCACAGTTGGTCTCAATGCTGGTCTCACAGCTGGTTTCATATCTGGTCTCATTGCTGGTCTCACTGCTGGTCTCACTACTGGTCTCACTGCTGGTCGCACTGCTTTTGCTGGTCTCACAGCTGGTCTCACAGCTGGTCTCACAGTTGGGCTCACAGCTAGTCTCACAGCTGGTCTTACAGCTGGTCTGATTGCTGGTCTCACAGCTGGTCTCAAAGCTGGTCTCACTGGTTGTCTCACAGTTGGTCTCACAGCTGGTCTCACTGCTGCTCTCACTGCTGGTCTCACTGCTGGTCTCACCGCTGGTCTCACAACAGGTCTCACACTGGTCACAGTACTGGTCTAACCTGTGGTCTCACAGCTTGTCTTACAGCTGGTCTTACAGCTGGTCTCACAGCTGGTCTCACGGCTGCTCTCACATCTGGTCTCACATCTGGTCTCACTGCCGTTCTCACTGCTATTCTCACTGCTGGTCTCACAACTGCTCTCACTGCTGGTCTTACTGCTGGTGCTGGTCTCACTGCTGGTCTCACTGCTGGTGCTGGTCTCACAGCTGGTCTCACAGCTGGATTCACAGCTTGTCTCACGGCTGGTCTCACCACTGGTCCCACTGCTGGTCTCACTGCTGGTCTCACTGCTGGTCTCACAGCTTGTCTCTCAGCTGGTCTCACAGCTGGTCTAACAGCTGGTCTCAAAGCTGGTCTCACTGGTGATCTCACAGTTGGTCTTACAGCTGGTCTCACAGCTGGTCTCACGGCTGGTCTCACTGCTGGTCTCACTGCTGGCCTCACTGCTGGTCTCACTGGTGGGTTGTGGGCTGAGATGGGTGGGATGGGATGATGTGCTGAGTTGGGTGGTGATAGGCATGCACCATTGTTTTCTTCCATGCCTACTCGTTCCTTCTGTCTACTTTTGGTTTTCCTGTGCAAGTCTACTATCAGGCTTACTCTTCATTCATTATGGATACACACTGCTTGTGTGCATATGGATGCTACCACAATGGATGCATGAAAACAGGGGCATTTTGAGAAGTGCAATCAGCAATTGGACCGGCTTTGGCAGACCGTTGCCGCTACCAGGTAAGCTGTTGAAACAATATAGTGAGGTTGTGGTTGCTTGTAATTATCTAGATCTTATGGCTACAGATGGTCAGCTAAAGAGCACTCGGGTCAAAGGTTGCACAACTCTCATGCAGTACCAATGCACTGCTGGTTCTGTGTATCATAAAAACACCATGTGCATTGTTGGATATGCAAGTGCATGTGCACTGCATGGCTGGCTGCGTGCATGCATGGAAAAGCTTCGTGTGTCGGTGTGTGTGTGTGTGGGGGGCTGCCTGTTGAATGCATGTTGCATGTTACACGTGCGGTTAAACATTCACAGCAAGGAAGTGGAGGAAGTTTGCGCAGAGTGTGCTCGGTTGGAAGTACATGCATAGCATTCCATAGATCCGCACCGGCTGTTGAGAGGAACCTAGAGGAAGAGGTGAGGCTAGAGGGAGGTGAGACTCGGGCAGACTGTGCAGTCATGCTTGGTCTGGCTGCTTGAGACCTGGCCAAACCTGCGATGGTGTTCACTTATGTTTTGGGTGCATAATCATTCATTGTTCTTCGTTGTCTCTCAAAATCATGATTATTTATTATTCAGTGTCATCACTGGTAATATTTGCAGGTGAGGGGAGCCGTGTGCAGTGGTTATTGGTAAGAGGAACCCTAGGAGCAGGAGCCAACACTGCTATGGTGTCATTGCTGGGCTTTAGAGGTGAGGGGTGCTGCATTGGTGTACGCAGTGGTTAGAAACCCTGGTGTTATGTCTGGGCTTGTAGGTTGATGGGTGCGACTACTGCGTTTGCTGTGCTGAAAGAGAATCTGGCACTGGTTTTGCTTGGCGTACACCTTTTTTCCACCCCCCGCCTCTCTCCCCCAACCCTCCGAATCTCAAATTGTGCTCTATTGAACGCAGCACTTGGAGGAGCTTCTACAGGCATGAGATGCTGCTGCTGGTTAGGACTTCAAATTGCACTCACAATTACACAAAGGGCTGGTTGCCACTGATTGTTAGACATCTAGTAAGCGCCACCGGTGATAACGAAGACACACAGAATGCTGGTCACTAAAACGGTTGCTATGCTGGTCACCGGAGCGGTTGCTATGGCCAACGGCTTATGGCATGCATTCTATGCGCAATCAAATGCATTGTTGGCTGCGGTTCATATGTCTTTCGTGGGTAATGCATGTTCATTTGTGTGTATTGTGTGTGCATGGATGCATGCTGAATGGTTGTGTATGGCTTGCAGCACGCCGGTGGAGGATTTTGGCAGAGCGCGTGGACAGTTGGAGGCCAGCAGAGGCACATTCATTTCAGAAGACGGTCCAGGAGGAGGTGTGGCAACTTGGGTGATAGATCGGCCATGATTGAGCTATGTGATTGCACAATGCATGGCCATTATCTATCATTTTTATGTCCATTCAGAAATGACATTCAATACAAGAGCAGTTCCTGCATTTTCCTTTTCACCCCCACGTGTGATTTTCCACTGCAGTGGCGACTGACAGATGCAGCTCTGCCGCATTTCGATGGCGTGGCATCAGCTGTGACAGGATTTCAGAGGAAGCTGTAGGATGCTAGGAGTCGGCTCGAGGCGGCGGAGGAGAAGGCGTCTTGCGTTCATGTTGAGGAGAGAGGATGATCCATGGACCATGAACATGACATATCAGGGCCCTATATGATGCATCCAATTCGTTTAGTACTTTTTTCTTCTCGAAGCACCATGGTTTTCTTGTTTCTCCTTCCTACTTCTACCAGGCAGCTGTTTGGTTGAAGGAGTCATTGCTGATTGCGGCGCAGTCTCAGGCAGCAGAGGGAGAGGCAAGTGCTCTGAAGAAGTTCCATCAGCTGGAGGGAGCACATTTGACGAAGCGATCAAGTTGGCAAAGAAAATGGCTTTGCTGAGAGGGCTAATAGGACCATCCTGGAAACTGCCCGAGTGTTGCTGATCGAATCAGAGCTTGGGAACTCCATGTCGCCTCATGTCGTGAGGCATGATACAGCGGCAAGGAACCGCTTACCCACAAAGGTGGCTGATGATATGTGGGTGCTGCTGGAGAGGTGGCTTCGAAAGAAACCTCCAGTGGACATGCTCAGAGTGTTCGGATGCATGGCAGTAACGCATGTCCCTAAACTATACAGGACAAAGCTTGGAGCTTGTGGCAGAGAGCAAGGGGTGGCTACTCAGGGATCCCTCGAAGAATGTCCTATTTGACAGCCCGGGTGTCAAGTTTGTGGAGAACATCATGTATGGCAAGTGGGAGAAGCAGCTGGAGGCAAGGGAATCCCAGCACCTGGAACAAATCACTATGCACTTCGACTTGTCAGAAAATAATGACACCAAAGTCTGTGAGCTGTCTGCTGGCGGTACGGAAGCAGAAGGCAATATGGATACCTCGGATGATGCTGAAGTCAAGGAACTGGAAAAGCTGCAGCAAAAGGCCTCCAAAGCACCAAGTCTTCCAAAGAGGAGGAAGCAGCCTAGTGGGGGAACGAAGGGTTGGGTGAAGGTGAAAGAATGGGTAAACCCAACCATCTAACCTGTTCGTACCAGAATGGCAATGAGAGAGCTGCTGAGTTCCACAAGTGGGGGGGAGCCACAATTGAGCAACAGCAATGAGCTCAAGACGAAGATGCAGTGCTGTTCTTGGGTGATGACAAAGGGTCACATGACGAGGAGCCTGCATACTACTTTTACGCACCAATACAACCTCCGAGCATAGATCATGGGCTAACCGGGCCCAAGATCGTGGCTGGTTTCAAGTGATGCGGAGCACAATAGGCAGATGGAGAATCACAAGTGGGATCTGGTGTACTTGCGAAATGGGAAGAAGGCAATACAGTGCAAGTGGCTGGCAAGAATCAAGACAGATGAGAAAGGAGAGCCATCAATTTACAAGAGCAAACTGGTGGCAAAGAGGTTTCAGCAGAAAGAGAAGGAAGATTACAAAGATGTGTTCGCCCCAACTGCTAAGTCTCCGACGCTATGTGTGCTGCTGGCGGTATCTGCTGTGAGCAAATGGAGCGTGAAGCAAATGGACATTGTAACCGCTTTTATATACGGCATAGTGGAAGATGAGGTCTACATGGTACAACCACTTGGCTATGAGGATGGAACCGGTCCTGTCTGCAAGCTCAAGAAGACCATCTATGGATTGAAGCAGAAACCAAGATGCTGGTACAACAGGCTCGCCAGTGCACTAGAATGGATTGGATTCCATCCGAGTGCATGCGACGAGAGTCTTTCTAATGGGTGAAGGGGAGTCGCTTGTGCTTCTGCTGGTATACGTGAACAACATCCTGCTTTCCAACAGCAGTGACAAAGAGATCAATGGGGTGCAGCGGAAGCTCACAGAGCAGTTCAAGTGCAACTCACTTGGGGAGGCAAGGTACTAAGTCGCACATTGAGAGGGATGCTGAATGTAGCTGGCTCAAACTGCATCACGGATAGTACATCAACACCTTGGCTGAGAAGTACTCTGTGCAGGAAGAACGGAAAATTGCTGCTCCTTTGCCTTCCGAGTTCAAACTCATAAAGGCATCTGAAGGAGGAGTTGAGATTGAAGACCGGAGGCAATTCCAATCTATGGTCAAAAGCCTACTCTACACTACTATGCATACTTAGCCTAACATCAGCTTTGTTGTGGGACTACTGGTTCGAGTTGGAAAAAACCCAACAAAAGAGCAATGTAGTGCAATGAAGAGAGTAGTGCATTACCTCAACTCATAACCTACAATGGGAGTGCAGTATTCCGCCTCTCCTCAACTCAGGCGGAAAGCAATTGAAGTTCTCAAAGAGAAGAGGGAACAGCTCGGAAAAGGAAAGGTGTTCTTTTCCTACATTTTTTATGCCACATGGGCTTCTGATTATGAGGATTCGTCGTTCGCTAGGGGATACATGTGCATGGTGGGAGGTGGGCCTATAAGTTGGAGGTCCAAGAAGCAGTCGGAAACTGCACTAGGTGTTAGAAATAGAGTGCAAATACCACTTTTGTATTAGTACTTTTATATCCTAGTTTAGGTTATGAATGTTCTAGTGGGTTGGGGTGTACTCACAAATCCCAACCTCACCCAATTGTGATCCCCCCAATCTCCAATTACCCAATTGGAGATTCCGGAGATCCCAATGGGGATTTCCTCCAATTCCCCCTTCATCCATTCACTCTCACCTTGCCATGTACTTATAGAGCCTTAGGCTCCTTACATAATCAATCATTTCAACTCTATTTCTTACATGGTATCAGAGCGACCTATCCGCACACGCGGATCAAGGTCCTAATCTTAACGTACCCGCGCTACGCGCATTTCATCGTCGCGACATTCGTTTCGAGTCGTCGGAATTTCAACGTGCTCCACTCTGCAGTTGCGCCTCTCATCGTCGACCGCCTTCGCGCTCGACCTCGTCGAATTTCTCATCTCTGAAGCGTTCACGCTTCTCATCGTTGATTTCCTCCTCGGTTCTCTTTGGTCGAATCTCAATTTCGACCATCTCTTAAAACTCGTTCTCGAGTTTCCCCTCAGACCCCGCCAGAATAGGCGAACTCCCCTCGCGAAATCGCCTCCACGAACGTCTCGCGTCAAGCAAGAGCAGGTACACAGGTTGAAGCTGAGCGGAGCTGGTTGCGCAGATGGTTGCGGAGCTCTGTAGCTGCGGGACAGGGCATCGGGGTGTGTGGGGGGGTGTGTGGGGGGGTCGAGGGTTAGACATAGGCTCAGATTCAATTTCAATTCGGCGTTTTAACGAATTTTCGCCGACGCCATTTCCTATTTAGCGGCATTTTGATGAAGCCGTCAGAGTGATTTTCAGCAATTCTCGTCGACCAATTTCTAGAAGTGCCGCGCTGCACACCGACAATGGCTTACTCAACCACTTCACTCGCCAACCCGATCCCGCTCCTTCGTCTCGAGCCGGACGGCACATGCTCCAACTACAAGGCTTGGCGCTATGGTGTCGACAAGCACCTCCTCAGTCGCGAGGTGAAGGGGCTCGAGCTCACCGACGTCCTTCTCAACATCGGTGACGGCAAAGAGCCTCCTAAACCCGAGAGGTCCGCCGATCCAGCTAATGCCGCCGCCGAAGCAATTTATGCTGCTACACTGCTCAAGTGCAAGAATTGGGAGAAGGCCGATGGTGCGGTCATTAGTGTCTTCATGGGCACCACTCATCCCGAACTCATCGAAACCTACCACAACTACTCGTCTCCCAACGCCATTTGGCTCTACCTCGAAGATCGCTTCCTGAATAAGACTGCAGTGGGAGTTGCTATACTCATCCCCAGCATGTTCCAAGTGCGGCTCGAGGACTCGCCAGGCATGGCGAACTATGTCACCAAGGTGCAGTCCATTCATGGTGAACTCAAACAGTTGGGGATAGTCTTCCCCGAGCAAGCCCCTGCAGCCGCTCTCCTAGTCGGCCTCACTCCGGCATACGAAGTCACACGCAAGATGCTCTTGGGCCTTGCTCCTGCAGACCTCACATTTGCCAAGGTCTCATCCGCGTTCCTTTCTGCCGAAAAGGACAACAGCGCTCAAGCCAAGGCCAATGCAATCCGCGCTCCCGTGCCTCAAGCCTATGCCGCTTCGGTGCCATTCCAGCGCAACTGCTTCCCCCCGTGTCCCTACGTCATCAAGCACGGCCCTCGTGCTGGCCAGGTGTGTGGCGGCACCAACCACGGCCTTGCCTCCTGCTTTAAGAAGAAGGATGACGAGTGGTATGCCGTCAATGGGACCGCCTCGAAGCCGCCAAGCTGGATGGTCAATCGTGCTCCTCGCCAAGTCAATCAAGTCGAAGCGCAGGAATCCGTGCAGGCTGCTGTGGCTTCACCTGCTGATGTGCGCCTCAACATGTTGTTCCCTGGCACTGCCATGATCAATGAGACAATTTCGCAGTATCCTGGCTCACAAAGCACCTCAGCTACAATAGAGTTCACCCTTGACATTGGGGCCACTCACACGATTCTCAAGGAAGAACACTCCTTCAAGCCATACGAGACACCAATCCGTCTACTTGGAGCAGACTCCAGTTTCACAACAAACACCAAGGGCTCCTCCACAGTTCCCTGCCCAGCTTTTCCTTCGGGCAGTGTGACTGGCATATGGAACCCACACTACGCCACAATCTCGTGGCCCAACACGAGCTCCAACGGGACGGCATCACCACGATCTTCCCAACACACTCGGATCATTGTGACCTCCTCGACCCTAAGTCCAACAAGCTCCTAGCACGCTTCACAGTCTATAGTAGCAAGCTCTACACGCTGCGTTCACCTGCACCTCTCGCCGCCCTCTCCCAAGCGCAAGCTGCCAGCACCACTCCGTGTTCGTGTCGCAGCTTCGCCAACCCAACCATCCTCTACCACCATCGCTTAGGTCACCCCAACTTCCGTACACTTGCCGACATCGCTTCCAAGAAACTTCTTCTTGGCCTCCCGTCGGCGCTTCCTCCACCAACAGACTCACCTGCACCCACCTGCTTGGACTGCACCAAGAGCAAGCTCAGACAGCAGCCGCACCCTTCCTCCCCATTCGTCGCACCTGCTCCGCCGGACCTAGTGCACATGGATGTCTGGGGCCCAGCTCCAGTCGCATCCCGAGGCGGTCATCGGTACTTTCTTACACTAGTCGATGACCACTCGCGGTATGTTTCTGTGCACGTCCTGCATACCAAGGCGGAGGCACCTGATGTCATCATGGCATAGGTGCGCCAGGCTCAAGTCACGTTTGGCACTCCTCTGAATTGCCTCCATTCTGATGGCGGGGGAGAATTTCGCAATGGCAAACTCGATAACTTCTGTGCAGCCCAAGGGATTCGGCAAACCTTCACGCTCCCCGAAAGCCCGCAGCTGTGAGAGTACGACTCCGTTACACCACTTGGCCTTTTCCATCTTTCATCTTCATTTCATTCCTCTTTTTATCTCATCTCCTTTTGCCTCATATTCCCCATTTTCCATTATCCTTTGGTTTCTTCCCTTATTATAATTATATCACCGACCAAGCATGGAATGTTCTAGACACGCTATCTAGCGTAATCCTGTCGTAATCTCTTAAACCCAATAGCCTCGCGTGGCTATACGCAGGGTGATTCTATTTTCTAGAAGGGTCTATTCCTTTAGATAGGATAAACCTGGTTACTTGATGTACTCTGGAAGTATAAAAGCGCCTTGTACTGATCGATAGTGGAACCTTTCCTCGACACATTCGATCCTGTGACACTTGGTATCAGAGCTTTTCTCACTCGGCCGCGCTCAGCTAAGCAGCAGCAGCGGGGATCCTGCCTCGAAAAACCGCCGGGGGCGACCAATTCGACGCCGATTCTGGTAAGCACCAGCTCCGCGATTTTCGAATTACCCCCTCCGTGCGTGTTTTGAACAGGATGGCAACCTTCGACAACGCCGAGGTTACCCAGCAGCTCTTCGCGCGCATCGCAGCCCTTCAGGAGGAAATGCGAGCGGATCGCGAAGCGTGGCGAAACCAGTTCGAGCGAGTAACTCGACTCGCCGGAGCGCAGCACGAGACGACAACGGCGACGACGCAGCAGTCGCAGCAATTTCTCGAGGCTCCGAAACCGCGCCCACCTGAGCCGTTCGATCCGAGCGATCGAAACTCCGACGCCCGCAGATGGATCGCCGGGATGGAGATCTACTTCGCAGCCGTCGGATGGAGCTCGCCAGTCTGGGACGGGCAACGTGTACGACTCGCGGCGACACTGATGCGAGGGCCGGCACTCGAGTGGATTGGCGGCAACAGTACTTTCATCCACGGTGAAGCCACGTGGCAGCAGTTCCGCGCCGACCTGCTGAAACGATTCGAGCCGATAAATTCAAGTTTTCTTGCCCGCGAAAAAATTCATCGTCATCGACAGTTCGGGAGTGTATCACAGTACACGCAGCAGATGGAAGAATTTTATAACCGCATTCCCGACCTGACCGAAGGGGAAAAAGTGCAATCGTACCTCGCAGGGCTGAAGACCGAAGTCAAACGACAGGTGGCAGCGTCAAACTACGCGAGCTACAGTGACGTCGTTTCGGCAGCGGAGCGCTTCGACATGGTCAACGCCGGAACACGACGGACGCACGTCGGCAGTACGCGAAAGGGCGACCGCTCGGCTCACCCCACGTTCGCCGACCCGATGGAAGTCGACAGATTCGAGGGGCGGCCACGTCCGAAAAACACCAACTACACGTGTGATTTTTGCGGGGTGCCGGGCCACCGAATCTTCGACTGCAACAAAATGAAGGCCGCACGCGCAGAGTATCGGGCACGCAACAGTGGCGGAAATCTTCCGGCCAATCAGAAGACAAAAAACGGGAGTCGCCAGTGATTGCGGATCTAGCTGGCGAAAATAAAAAGATCCGGAAACGGCCGCGGGATTCCGAGAAAATCAACTTCGACGAAGCTGATTCGACGCGAGCAGGAGGAAATGATGGGGGAAAATCTCCACCCCACGACCAGTCTTCGCCAGGGAAATTCGCCGAGGAAAAATCAGACTCCGCGAAAAAAGACTCTGCCGAGACGGGGAAACTCCTTGAAGACCCAAGAAATTATAAGAATTCGTTAAAGCTATCCTATAAAGATGCTTTAATGAAAACTTATGATTTTCGAGGAGCTAGAGCCTTGGAGAAATTTCGGGAGGGACTCCAAAAGAAGCAGACAGCTGTGGAGATTATACCGGTACCGGACAACTTGGGGACCAAATTAAGGAGTGTGGAAAGAAGCCGACCTTTCCACGGAGTCAACGTCCTCTCCCGACACCAGCCCACAACGACTACCCGCTCCCCAGGGAAGACATCGGTGGAGCTGAAGCAGCTCAAGAGGAAGCTGGGGGTCTACAAGAAGCTGCAAAAACCCCGAACTCCCTCTACGGATGCATCCAGTTCTTCGGCATCAGTGACGCGCACAGTCGTCAAGGAAACTCCGGGCCCTGGAGAAGAGTCGTTCTCCAAGCAGCCTCGGCCAGCTGCCAGCTCAGGAGTAGACAGCAACACAAAGGTGTGTACGGAGTATTGGGATGTACCCTATGACCCAATCAAGGAAACTATCTTTGGGTACTCCGAGCAACGACTGCCCCTGGTGCTCGAGGTCATCTGCAAAGGACGACGCCTCCAAGCACTCGTGGACAGCGGAGCGTCACACACCGTCTGCGACAAGGCAGCAATCGACCGACTTCGAGAAGAGTACAAGCCTTCAAAATTCTCTGCAACGATGGTGGATGGCAGCAAGTTACCAGTACACGGCGAAGCAGTGCTACACCTACAAATTGGACCACTGCGCTGGAGACCTGCACTCCCCATCACCAACATCAAAGGGCTTGACTTGATCTTCGGGCGAGACTTCCTGAAAAAATTCAACCCCGAGATCAACTGGGTGAACCGCACCGCAAGCATCTACAACAATGGACGGAGAGTACAGCTACCCAACTGGGACGATACAGGAGATATCCCAGTGGAGACACTCGCACGATTCGAGAAGGATGTGAAGCGGACCGACACCGGGTTCCTGGCGATAGCAACAGAGGTGGAGAATGACGGAGAGAAAGCCTCGGAAACTCCAGAAAAAATCAAGGAATTACTAAAGGAGTTCCAAGACATTCTTCCTGACGATCTTCCGAACGAGCTACCGCCATACCGAACACATCAACACGAGATTGTGGAGGAACCGGGTTCGAAGCCGACCTTCCGAGCACCATATCGACTCAGCCCTACGGAGCTGACCGACATGAAGAAGCAGATCGAGTATCTCCTAGCCAAAGGACTCATCCGACCATCTACTTCACCGTACGGTGCCCCAGTACTCTTCACACCGAAACCGGACGGAAGCCTGCGCATGTGCATCGACTACCGAGCTCTTAACAAGCAGACCATCAAGAATAAATATCCGATACCGCGAATCGATGACCTGCTTGACCAGCTTCGGGGAGCTACGGTATTTTCCAAACTGGATCTGCGGTCCGGATACTGGCAGATACGGATGGCGGACAACTCTATCCACAAAACTGCTTTCCGAACTCGGTACGGATCGTACGAGTATTTGGTCATGCCGTTCGGACTCACCAACGCGCCGGCAACGTTCCAAGCCGAAATGAACCACATTTTACGACCACTCTTGGACGAATGCGTGGTGGTGTACCTGGACGACATACTCATCTACTCGCGCGACATGAAGCAGCACGTCGAACACCTGCGACGCGTCTTCGAAATTCTTCGACGAGAACGATTCTACGTCAAACTGTCCAAGAGCGAATTCGCCCTGGAGAAAGTCCAATTTCTAGGACACATGGTGAGCGCTCAAGGAGTTCACGTCGACCCCAAGAAAATCGAAGCCGTACGCACGTGGAAGACACCCGAGAACGTGAAGGAGTTGCAGCAGTTCCTAGGCTTCGCTAATTACTACAACAGGTTCGTGCCACAATATGCGAAAATCGCAGCACCACTCACGAATCTGCTGAAGAAGAACACGCCCTACAAATGGGAACCAAAGCACCAGGAAGCCGTGGAGCAGCTGAAACAAGCACTAACATCCGCACCGGTGCTCATCTTGCCAGATCCCGAACGTGACTACGTCATTGAAGCAGACGCCAGTGATCAGGCCGTGGGAGCAGTCTTGATGCAAGACCAAGGGAATGGACTGCAACCCATTGCCTACCTCAGCAAGAAACTGCACGGGGCAGAACTCAACTACCCGATACACGACAAAGAGGCCCTTGCTATCATCATCGCCTTCAAAGCATGGAGATGCTATCTCGAAGGACGAAGAACAACCGTCTACACCGACCACTGCAGCCTGAAATATTTGAAGACACAACCCAACCTTTCCAGGCGGCAGGTCCGGTGGATCGACTTCCTCGAGACACACTTCCACTACGACATCGTGTACAAGCCTGGCCACAAGAACAAAGCAGACGCGCTCAGCCGGCCTGCACACGTTGCCGCGATTCAGGTCGAAGGGATGAATCCACTACTCAAGGGACTCTTCACACACGGGTACGCCATCGACCCCGAAATACCCTTGGCAGAAAAACGACATCTACTACAGTGGGACAACGACATTGCGTACCGGAAAGGCTCAACGAAAATCTGGGTACCCAATTACCCTCCTTTGCGCCAGTTACTACTCGAAGAATACCACGACGTCCTGTACGCTGGACACTTCGGTAGCAACAAGACGCTCACCGGTATCGCCAAACACTACTACTGGCCCCATATGGCAGACGACGTCCAGAAATTCGTCACCTCGTGTGATACATGTCAGCGGATGAAGAGCAGCAAGCAGAAAAAGGCGGGACTACTGCAGCCTCTTCCTGTCCCAGAACAACCATGGCAAGTGGTTAGCCTAGACTTCATCACCGGGTTACCACCTACCTCCAGCGGTCATGACGCCATCCTTGTCGTCATTGACAAGTTCTCCAAAATGGGACACTTCATCCCGACACACACGACGGCACGCACCGAGGAGACAGCACAGCTCTTCGTTCGTCACATCATCTCACAGCATGGCATCCCAACTACACTCATCTCCGACCGAGACCCCAAGTTCACTAGCAAGTTCTGGAAGGAACTTATGTCTCTGCTCGGCACCAAACTCGCCATGTCATCCGCATACCATCCGCAGACAGACGGACAGACCGAGCGCCTCAACCAAATTGTTGAGCAACTCCTCCGAGCAGCCTGCAAGGACGACATCTCCAAATGGGACTTGCACCTACCCGTCCTGGAGTTTGCCTACAACAACGCTACACACGCCGCTACGGGACAGACGCCGTTCTTCCTCTGCTACGGACGCCACCCACTCACACCACAGAAACCGACAACACCAGCAACAGTCCAACCTGCACACGACTTCATCACAACCATGCATCGGCTTTGGGATCGGACCCATAAGCGCCTCCTTGACATTCAACAGCAACAGAAGCGCCAGGCCGATCGCCATCGCAACGACCACACCATTTCCGTGGGAGACCAAGTTCTCCTTGACACCCGCAACCTGGACATCAGCCATCTCCCATCTAAACTTCGACCTCGCTTCTGCGGGCCTTTCCTCGTTGAAGCACAGGTCACTCCTGTTACCTTCCGCTTACGCCTACCAGCTACCTGGAAGATTCACAACGCCTTCCACGTCCAACTTCTGAAGCCCTATCGGGACCCGAACACAATTTTCGTCGGACGCCAGCCGCCGCCGCCGCCGCCCGTCCTCGTCCAGAACGAACCCGAGTACGAGGTCGAGTCCGTGCTTGCACATCGTCGTCGTCGGAATGGCACCGTGGAGCTTCTCATCCGTTGGAAGGGTTATGATCCATCTGAGGACAGCTGGGTACCTGAGTCCGACATGGGTAACGCCCGTCGTCCTCTGCATGACTACCTTGTCAAGCAGGGTGTTACTTCTACCACCCAGCTTTGAGGGGGGGAAGTGTGAGAGTACGACTCCGTTACACCACTTGGCCTTTTCCATCTTTCATCTTCATTTCATTCCTCTTTTTATCTCATCTCCTTTTGCCTCATATTCCCCATTTTCCATTATCCTTTGGTTTCTTCCCTTATTATAATTATATCACCGACCAAGCATGGAATGTTCTAGACACGCTATCTAGCGTAATCCTGTCGTAATCTCTTAAACCCAATAGCCTCGCGTGGCTATACGCAGGGTGATTCTATTTTCTAGAAGGGTCTATTCCTTTAGATAGGATAAACCTGGTTACTTGATGTACTCTGGAAGTATAAAAGCGCCTTGTACTGATCGATAGTGGAACCTTTCCTCGACACATTCGATCCTGTGACAGCAGCAGAACGGCATTGCAGAGAGCCGCAACCACACCTTGGTTCAGATCGCTCGCTGCCTCCTCAGTCAAGCCAACGCACCACGGTCACTCTGGGGATATGCCCTCTTCCATGCGGCACTCCTCTACAATCTTTATCCGCATCCCCACCGGCCCGACACCACACCTACCGCTCTCTGGCTTGGGGTCACGCCTTCCGCCCGCTCTCTATGCGTCTGGGGGTGTACCGCGTATGTGTTGTTAAGCCCCCATACGCGCAAGAAGCAAGGTGGCAAGCTTGGTCCCAAAACCCAGACCTGCATGTAACTGGGGCACAACTCCGACTCCCAAGACTACTTATTCCTCAACCCAATCACCAGACAGCTGATTCGCAGCCGTGATGTCGTCTTCGATGAGACACACCCATTCCACGCTGCGACCACGGGCGAGCCTCCTCCATCTCCACCTCCTCCTGCTCCGCCTTCCCCGCGCATCGAGCCCGGCTCACCAGTCTCCTATCGAAGGCGCCCAGTCCCTCTGGTCCCACTGCAGCCGCCTTCGTCTCCGGTCTCTAGTCGCATTTGTTCCAAGGGACCGGCTCCGCCTCTCGCCTGGGGACCAGCCGCCTTCTCCATCCGCTGTTCGGTCACCCCGCCTCCTCCTGCCGGGGGTGATGTCCCCTCCATCCGTATTCCCCCCCGTGCACTTCTGGAGGAGAGGCATGAGGAGCTGTTTGACCTTCACGCGGTCTGCCAATTTCTCTCTCACATCTTCCCGGACATTACTGATTGCCCTTCCCTCAACTTCACCGAGAACCCGACCATTCCGACTCCTCGCACAAAAGAGGAAGCTCTCTTGGGGCCTTATAAGAAGGAGTGGAAGGCAGCAATGGATGTGGAGAACGAGGCGTTCATTCGCAACAACAGCTTTGACGATGTTGTTCCCCCTTCCGGTGTCAACATCGTCGGCGGAAAATGGATCTTCCGAGTCAAACAACTCCCAGGCGAAGCTCCACTGTTCAAGGCACGATACATGGCGAAGGGTTTCACCCAGAACGAGTATCTCGACTTCTTCGAAACCTTCTCGCCCACGGCCAAGCTCCCGACTGTGCGCGCTCTTCTTGATATAGCCGCTCGCGGCAACTTCGAGATCAAGTCCATGGACGCCTCCTCCGCCTTTCTCCAAGGCCAGCTCAAGGAGGATGTTCACATGGAACGCCCACTGGGGTTTCCTCGCAGTTACCCTGCCAACACAGTGTGGAAGCTGAAGCGCCCAGTGTATGGCCTCAAGCAGGCTCCTCGTGAGTGGCACAACAAGGTGAAGGAAGTCCTCCTCGCACTTGACTTCCATCCCTCTGCCTCAGATTCCAGTCTCTTCGTTCGTCACTCCTCCGAGCCCTTCTACATCCTCGTCTACGTCGACGACTTCACTCTAGCCACCAGAGATCCAGCCGACATGGCAGCTGTCCAGTCTGCTCTCAGCTCCGCCCTTCTCATGAAGGATCTTGGTGACCTCAAGAACTACGTGGGGATGGAGATCACTCGTGACTGCCAGGCTTGCACTGTGAGAGTACGACTCCGTTACACCACTTGGCCTTTTCCATATTTCATCTTCATTTCATTCCTCTTTTTATCTCACCTCCTTTTGCCTCATATTCCCCATTTTCCATTATCCTTTGGTTTCTTCCTTTATTATTATTATATCACCGACCAGGCATGGAATGTTCTAGACACGCTATCTAGCGTAATCCTGCTGTAATCCCTTAAAGCCAATAGCCTCGCGTGGCTATACGCAGGGTGATTCTATCTTCTAGAAGGGTCTATTCCCTTAGGATAAGATAAACCTGGTTACCTGATGTACTCTGGAAGTATAAAAGCGCCTTGTACTGATCGATAGTGCAACCTTTCCTCGACACATTCGATCCTGTGACACTTGGTAATCAGAGCTTTTCTCACTCGGCCGCGCTCAGCTAAGCAGCAGCAGCGGGGATCCTGCCTCGAAAAACCGCCGGGGGCGACTAATTCGACGCCGATTCTGGTAAGCACCAGCTCCGCGATTTTCGAATTACCCCCTCCGTGCGTGTTTTGAACAGGATGGCAACCTTCGACAACGCCGAGGTTACCCAGCAGCTCTTCGCGCGCATCGCAGCCCTTCAGGAGGAAATGCGAGCGGATCGCGAAGCGTGGCGAAACCAGTTCGAGCGAGTAACTCGACTCGCCGGAGCGCAGCATGAGACGACAACGGCGACGACGCAGCAGTCGCAGCAGTTTCTCGAGGCTCCGAAACCGCGCCCACCTGAGCCGTTCGATCCGAGCGATCGAAACTCCGACGCCCGCAGATGGATCGCCGGGATGGAGATCTACTTCGCAGCCGTCGGATGGAGCTCGCCAGTCTGGGACGGTCAACGCGTACGACTCGCGGCGACACTAATGCGAGGGCCGGCACTCGAGTGGATTGGCGGCAACAGTACTTTCATCCACGGTGAAGCCACGTGGCAGCAGTTCCGCGCCGACCTGCTGAAACGCTTCGAACCGATAAATTCGAGTTTCCTTGCCCGGGAAAAAATTCATCGACACCGACAGTTCGGGAGTGTATCACAGTACACGCAGCAGATGGAAGAATTTTATAACCGCATTCCCGACCTGACCGAAGGGGAAAAAGTACAATCGTACCTCGCCGGGCTGAAGACCGAAGTCAAACGACAAGTCGCAGCGTCAAACTACGCGAGCTACAGTGACGTCGTTTCGGCCGCGGAGCGCTTCGACATGGTCAACGCCGGAACACGACGGACGCACGTCGGCAGTACGCGACAGGGCGACCGCTCGGCTCACACCACGTTCGCCGACCCGATGGAAGTCGACAGATTCGAGGGGCGGCCACGTCCGAAAAATACCAACTACACGTGTGATTTTTGCGGGGTGCCGGGCCACCGAATCTTCGACTGCAACAAAATGAAGGCCGCACGCGCAGAGTATCGGGCACGCAACAGTGGCGGAAATCTTCCGGCCAATCAGAAGACAAAAAACGGGAGTCGCCAGTGATTGCGGATCTAGCTGGCGAAAATAAAAAGATCCGAAAGCGGCCGCGGGATTCCGGAAAAATCAACTTCGACGAAGCTGATTCGACGCGAGAAGGAGGAAATGATGGGGGAAAATCTCCACCCCACGACCAGTCTTCGCCAGGGAAATTCGCCGAGGAAAAATCAGACTCCGCGAAAAAAGACTCTGCCGAGACGGGGAAACTCCTTGAAGACCCAAGAAATTATAAGAATTCGTTAAAGCTATCCTATAAAGATGCTTTAATGAAAACTTATGATGTTCGAGGGGCTAGAGCCTTGGAGAAATTTCGGGAGGGACTCCAAAAGAAGCAGACAGCTGTGGAGATTATACCGGTACCGGACAACTTGGGGACCAAATTAAGGAGTGTGGAAAGAAGCCGACCTTTCCACGGAGTCAACGTCCTCTCCCGACACCAGCCCACAACGACTACCCGCTCCCCAGGGAAGACGTCGGTGGAGCTGAAGCAGCTCAAGAGGAAGCTGGGGGTCTACAAGAAGCTGCACAAACCCCGAACTCCTTCTACGGATGCATCCAGTTCTTCGGCATCAGTGACGCGCACAGTCGTCAAAGAAACTCCGGGCCCTGGAGAAGAGCCGTTCTCCAAGCAGCCTCGACCAGCTGCCAGCTCAGGAGTAGACAGCAACACCAAGGTGTGTACGGAATATTGGGATGTACCCTATGACCCAATCAATGAAACTATCTTTGGGTACTCCGAGCAACGACTGCCCCTCGTGCTCGAGGTCATCTGCAAAGGACGACGCCTCCAAGCACTCGTGGACAGCGGAGCGTCACACACCGTCTGCGACAAGGCAATGATCGACCGACTCCGGGAAGAGTACAAGCCTTCAGGATTCTCTGCAACGATGGTGGACGGCAGCAAGTTACCAGTACACGGCGAAGCAGTGCTACATCTACAAATCGGACCACTGCGCTGGAGACCTGCACTCCCCATCACCAACATCAAAGGGCTTGACTTGATCTTCGGGCGAGACTTCCTGAAAAGATTCAACCCCGAGATCAACTGGGTAAACCGCACCGCAAGCATCTACAACAATGGACGGAGAGTACAGCTACCCAACTGGGACGACACTGGAGATATCCCAGTGGAGACACTCGCACGATTCGAGAAGGACGTGAAGCGGACCGACACCGGGTTCCTGGCGATAGCAACAGAGGTGGAGAATGACAGAGAGAAAGCCTCGGAAACTCCAGGAAAAATCAAGGAATTGCTGAAGGAGTTCCAAGACATTCTTCCTGACGATCTTCCGGACGAGCTACCGCCATACCGAACGCATCAACACGAGATCGTGGAGGAACCGGGTTCGAAGCCGACCTTCCGAGCACCATATCGACTCAGCCCTACGGAGCTGACCGACATGAAGAAGCAGATCGAGTATCTCCTAGCCAAAGGACTCATCCGACCATCTACTTCGCCATACGGTGCCCCAGTACTCTTCACACCGAAACCGGACGGAAGCCTGCGCATGTGCATCGACTACCGAGCTCTTAACAAGCAGACCATCAAGAATAAATATCCGATACCGCGAATCGATGACCTGCTTGACCAGCTTCGGGGAGCTACGGTATTTTCCAAACTGGATCTGCGGTCCGGATACTGGCAGATACGGATGGCGGACAACTCTATCCACAAAACTGCTTTTCGAACTCGGTACGGATCGTACGAGTATTTGGTCATGCCGTTCGGACTCACCAACGCACCGGCAACGTTCCAAGCCGAAATGAACCACATTCTACGACCACTTCTGGACGAATGCGTGGTGGTGTACCTGGATGACATACTCATCTACTCGCGCGACATGAAGCAGCACGTCAAACACCTGCGACGCGTCTTCGAAATTCTTCGACGGGAACGATTCTACGTCAAACTGTCCAAGAGCGAATTCGCCCTGGAGAAGGTCCAATTTCTAGGCCACCTGGTGAGCGCTCAAGGAGTTCACGTCGACCCCAAGAAAATCGAAGCCGTACGTACGTGGAAGACACCCGAGAACGTGAAGGAGTTGCAGCAGTTCCTAGGCTTCGCTAATTACTACAACAGGTTCGTGCCACAGTATGCGAAACTCGCGGCACCACTCACGAATCTGCTGAAGAAGAACACGCCCTACAAATGGGAGACGAAGCACCAGGAAGCCGTGGAGCAGCTGAAACAAGCACTAACGTCCGCACCGGTGCTCATCTTGCCAGATCCCGAATGCGACTACGTAATCGAAGCTGACGCCAGCGACCAGGCAGTGGGAGCAGTCTTGATGCAAGACCAGGGGAATGGACTGCAACCAATTGCCTACCTCAGCAAGAAACTGCACGGGGCAGAACTCAACTACCCGATACACGACAAAGAGGCTCTTGCTATCGTCATCGCCTTCAAAGCGTGGAGATGCTATCTCGAAGGACGAAGAACGACCGTCTACACCGACCACTGCAGCCTGAAATATTTGAAGACACAACCCAACCTTTCCAGGCGGCAGGTCCGGTGGATCGACTTCCTCGAGACACACTTCCACTACGACATCGTGTACAAGCCCGGCCACAAGAACAAAGCAGACGCTCTCAGCCGGCCTGCACACGTTGCCGCGATTCAGGTCGAAGGGATGAATCCACTACTCAAGGGACTCTTCACCCACGGGTACGCTATCGACCCCGAAATTTCCTTGGCAGAAAAGCGACATCTGCTACAGTGGGACAGTGACATCGCGTACCGGAAAGGATCAACAAAAATCTGGGTACCCAATTACCCTCCTTTGCGCCAGTTACTACTCGAAGAATACCACGACGTCCTGTACGCCGGACACTTCGGTAGCAACAAGACGCTCACCGGTATCGCCAAACACTACTACTGGCCCCATATGGCAGACGACGTCCAGAAATTCGTCACCTCGTGTGATACATGTCAGCGGATGAAGAGCAGCAAGCAGAAAAAGGCGGGACTACTGCAGCCTCTTCCTGTCCCAGAACAACCATGGCAAGTGGTTAGCCTAGACTTCATCACCGGGTTACCACCTACCTCCAGCGGTCATGACGCCATCCTTGTCGTCATTGACAAGTTCTCCAAAATGGGACACTTCATCCCGACACACACGACGGCACGCACCGAGGAGACAGCACAGCTCTTCGTTCGTCACATCATCTCACAGCATGGCATCCCAACTACACTCATCTCCGACCGAGACCCCAAGTTCACTAGCAAGTTCTGGAAGGAACTTATGTCTCTGCTCGGCACCAAACTCGCCATGTCATCCGCATACCATCCGCAGACAGACGGACAGACCGAGCGCCTCAACCAAATTGTTGAGCAACTCCTCCGAGCAGCCTGCAAGGACGACATCTCCAAATGGGACTTGCACCTGCCCGTACTAGAGTTTGCTTACAACAATGCTACACATGCCGCTACTGGACAGACGCCGTTCTTCCTCTGCTACGGACGCCACCCACTCACACCACAAAAACCGACAGCATCACCTACAGTCCAACCCGCACATGATTTCATTACAACCATGCATCAACTTTGGGATCGGACCCATAAGCGCCTCCTTGACATTCAACAGCAACAGAAGCGCCAGGCCGATCGCCATCGCAACGACCACACCATCACGGTGGGGGACCAGGTGCTTCTCGACACCCGTAACCTGGACCTCAGCCATCTCTCATCTAAACTTCGACCTCGCTTCTGCGGGCCTTTCCTCGTTGAAGCACGGGTCACTCCTGTTACCTTCCGCTTACGCCTGCCAGCTACCTGGAAGATTCACAACGCCTTCCACGTCCAACTTCTGAAGCCCTATCGGGACCCGAACACAATTTTCGTCGGACGCCAGCCGCCGCCGCCGCCGCCCGTCCTCGTCCAGAACGAACCCGAGTACGAGGTCGAGTCCGTGCTTGCACATCGTCGTCGTCGGAATGGCACCGTGGAGCTTCTCATCCGTTGGAAGGGTTATGATCCTTCTGAGGACAGCTGGGTCTCTGAGTCCGACATGGGTAACGCCCGTCGTCCTCTGCATGACTACCTTGTCAAGCAGGGTGTTACTTCTACCACCCAGCTTTGAGGGGGGGAAGTGTGAGAGTATGACTCCGTTACACCACTTGGCCTTTTCCATATTTCATCTTCATTTCATTCCTCTTTTTATCTCACCTCCTTTTGCCTCATATTCCCCATTTTCCATTATCCTTTGGTTTCTTCCTTTATTATTATTATATCACCGACCAGGCATGGAATGTTCTAGACACGCTATCTAGCGTAATCCTGCTGTAATCCCTTAAAGCCAATAGCCTCGCGTGGCTATACGCAGGGTGATTCTATCTTCTAGAAGGGTCTATTCCCTTAGGATAAGATAAACCTGGTTACCTGATGTACTCTGGAAGTATAAAAGCGCCTTGTACTGATCGATAGTGCAACCTTTCCTCGACACATTCGATCCTGTGACATGCACGATCACCCTCTCCCAGGAGTCCTACATCGACAACCTTCTCAAGCGGTTCGACATGGACTCCAGTAACTCTGTCTCCACTCCACTCCCACTACAGCATCAGCTCACGGCCCCTCCAGTTCCTTCTCCTGACGCCTGCAAGGACCCGTACCCTGAGCTAGTCGGTCCACTCATGTATGCCATGATGTGCACTCGACCAGACTTGGCTTACCCGGTTAGTGTCCTCTCTCGGTACGTCTCCCCTGGATGCTACACTGCCTTGCATTGGTCTGCAGCCAAGAGGGTCCTCCGCTATCTACAAGCCACCAAGTCTCACATCCTCACTCTTGGTGGTACCTCTCCAGTCAAGCTCGAGGGATACACAGACTCCTCATGGGCCGATGACCAGACTGACAGACGCTCCTCCCAAGGGTACTGCTTCACCCTTGGTAGGGGAGTCATCAGCTGGCGCTCCACTCGGTCCTCTGCAGTCTCCCTGTCGTCCTGCGAGGCCGAGCTCTACGCGGACACAATGGCTGCTCAAGAGGCACGCAGGCTCTCCTTTCACCTCGCTGAGTTAGGCTACCCCCAGCAGTCGCCCACCCTGTGGTGTGACAACCAGAGTGCCATTCACCTCACCAAGGATCCTATGTTCCACTCTCGCACCAAGAACATCGAACTTCGTCATTTCTTCAACCGAGATCTTGTTCAGAGTAACCAGCTGACGGTACGGTACATCGCCTCAGATTGCAACCTCGTCGACTTCTTTACCAAGGCTCTCGGCAAGGCTGACCATCATCGCCTTCTCCGTTCCATGGGGCTAAGTGCTCCTTGACTGGGTTTGCAGTCTATGGGGGTGTGTTAGAAATAGACTGCAAATACCACTTTTGTATTTGTACCTTTATATCCCAGTTTAGGTTATGAATCTTCTAGTGGGTTGGGGTGTACTCACAAATCCCAACCTCACCCAATTGTGATCCCCCCCATCTCCAATTACCCAATTGGAGATTCCGAAGATCCCAATGGGGATTCCCTCCAATTCCCCCTTCATCCATTCACTCTCACCTTGCCATGTACTTATAGAGCCTTGGGCTCCTTACCTAATCAATCATTTGAACTCTATTTCTTACACTATCTTCAATGGAATGTGAGTAAATATAGATATAAGAAATAGAGCTGAAAGGAATGATTAGGTAAGGAGCCCAAGGCTCTATAAGTACATGGCAAGGTGAGAGAGAATGAATGAAGGGGGGAATCGGAGGGAATCCCCACTGGGATGTCCGGAATCTCCAATTGGGTAATTGGAGATTGGGGGGATCACAATTGGGTGAGGTTGGGATTTTGTGAGTACACCCCAACCCACTAGAACATTCTCAACCTAAACTAGGATATAAAAGTACAGATACGAAAGTGGGATTTGCAATCTATTTCTAAAACACCCCCATAGATTGCAAACCTGGTCAAGGAGCACATAGCCCCATGGAACGAAGAAGGCGATAGTGGTCAGCCTTGCCGAGAGCCTTGGTAAAGAGGTCGGCAAGGTTGCAATCTGAGGTGATGTACCGTACCATCAGCTAGTCACTTTGAACAAGATCTCGGCTGAAGAAATGACAAAGTTCGATGTGCTTGGTGCGAGAGTGGAACACAGGATCCTTGGTGAGGTGAATGGTGCTCTAGTTGTCACACCAGAGGGTGGGCGACTACTGGGGGTAGCCTAACTCAGCGAGGAGAAAGGAGAGCCAGCGTGCCTCTTGAGCAGCCATTGTGCCTGCGTAGAGCTCGGCCTCGCAGGACAACAGGGAGACTGCAGAGGACCGAATGGAGCGCCAGCTGATGACTCCGCTACCATGGGTGAAGCAGTACCCTTTGGAGGAGCGTCTGTCAGTCTGGTCATCGGCACATGAGGAGTCTGTGTATCCCTCGAGCTTGACTAGAGCGGTACCACCGAGAGTGAGGATGTGAGACTTGGTGGCTTGTAGATAGCAGAGGACCCTTGGCTGCAGACCAATGCGAGGCAGTGTAGTGTCCGGGGGAGACGTACCGAGAGAGGACACTAACCGGGTAAGCCAAGTCTGGTCGAGTGCACATCATGGCATACATGAGTGAACTGACTAGCTCAGGGTACGGGTCCTTGCAGGTGTCAGGAGAAGGAATCGGAGGGGCCGTAAGCTGATGCTGTAGTGGGAGTGGAGTCGAGACTGAGTTACTGGAGTCCATATCGAACCGCTTGAGAAGGTTGTCGATGTAGGACTCCTGGGAGAGCGTGATCGTGCAAGCCGGGCTGTCACCAAGATCCTTCATGAGAAGGGCGGAGGTGAGAGCAGAGTGAACAGCTGCCATGTCGGCTGGATCTCTGGCGGCTAGAATGAAGTCGTCGACGTAGACGAGGATGTAGAAGGGCTTGGCGGAGCGGTGGAAGTCAAGTGCGAGGAGGACTTCCTTCACTTTGTTGTGCCACTCACGAGGAGCCTGCTTGAGGCCATACACAGGGCGCTTCAGCTTCCACACTGTGTTGGCAAGATAAGTGCCAGGAAACCCTGATGGGCGTTCCATGTGAACATCCTCCTTGATCTGGCCTTGGAGAAAAGCGGAGGAGGCGTCCATGGACTTGATCTCGAAGTTGCCGCGAGCGGCTATATCAAGAAGAGCGCACGCAGTCAAGAGATTGGCCATGGGCGAGAAGGTTTCGAAGAAGTCGAGATACTCCTTCTGGGTGAAACCCTTCGCCACGTATCGTGCCTTGAACAGTCGAGCTTCGCCTGGGAGTTGTTTGACTCGGAAGATCCATTTTCCACCGACGATGTTGACACCGGAAGGGGGAACGATATCGTCAAAGCTGTTATTGCGAATGAACGCCTCGTTCTCCACATCCATTGCTGCCTTCCACTCCTTATAATAAGGAACCAAGAAAGCTTCCTCTTTTGTGCGAGGAGTCGGAATGGTCGCGTTCTCGGTGAAGTTGAGGGAAGGGCAGTCAGTAATTTCCGGGAAGATGTGAGAGAGAAATTGGCAGACCGCGTGAAGGTCAAACAACTCCTCATGCCTGTCCTCCAAAAGTGCACGGGGAGGAATACAGATGGAGGGGACATCACCCCTGGCAGGAGGAGGCGGGGTGACCGAACACCGGATGGAGAAGGCGGCTGGCCCCCAGGCGAGAGGCGGAGCCGATTCCTTGGAACAAGTGCGACTAGAGACCGGAGACGAAGGCGGTTGCGGTGGGACTGGAGGGACAAGGCACCTCCAATAGGAGAGTGATGAGCCGAGCTTGACGCGCGGGGAAGGTGGAGCAGGAAGAGGTGCCGCTGCAGAGGATACCGGGGAGGCTAGGTGAGACGCTGGACGGAGAAGGCCCCGGAGAAGGGGCAGCGGCCGGAATTGGGGCATCGACTCTTCCCATACAAGCGTCGGGGGAGGTGGAGGAGGATCGCCTGTGGTCGCAGAGTGGAAGGGGCGTGTCTCATCGAAGACGACATCACGGCTGCGAATCAGCTGTCTGGTGATGGGGTTGAGGAATAAGTAGTGTGGGGAGTTGGAGTTGTGCCCCAGGTACATGCAGGTCTGGGTTTTGGGACCAAGCTTGCCACCTTGCTTCCTGCGCATGTGGGGGCTGAGCAAGACATACGCAGCACAACCCCAGACACGTA